CGCCGATGGAGCCGCCGGTGGACGCGCCCGGCGGTGGCAGCGCGCCCGGCCCAGACGGCCAGGTGCAGGACGGCCAGGAGCGGCAGTTGCTGTCGACCCACGCCCTCGGCCGGCGTGCCACCAGCGGCCTCAGCGCCGACGACCACGAGTTTGAGCACACGGCCGACGGCCGCGTCATCCACCGCGGCAAGGTGCTCTCGGCCGACGAGGAGCATGCCTACTTCGCGCGCAAGAAGCCTCGCTGGAAGCCCAAGATGTGGGAGGACCTGGCCGTCGGCGACTTTGTCATCCTGCGCAACAACGACCCCATCCCTGCCGACATTGTCATCTGCGCCACGAGCGAAGAGGAGGATACGTGCTTCATCGAGACCAAGAACCTCGACGGCGAGACCAACCTCAAGGCGCGCCACGCGGTGCCGGAGCTGTCGCACCTGCGCGACCCGCAGACGTGCGCGGCGGCGTCGTTCAAGGTGCACTCGGAGCCGCAGTCGACCAACATGTACCGGCTCAACGGCAGCGTCGAGCTGAGCGACACGTTTGACAAGAACGGCAAGCCGCTCCAGTGCCCCATCACGCTCAACGAGGTGCTGCTGCGCGGCTGCAACCTGCGCAACACCAAGTGGGTCGTCGGCATCGTCCTCATGACGGGCGTCGACTCCAAGATTGTCGCCAACTCGGGCGTGACGCCGAGCAAGCGCTCCAAGGTCGAGAAGCAGATGAACCCGATGGTCTACTTCAACCTGGGCATCCTCGCCCTCATGGCCGTCGTGTGCGCCATCGCCGACTGGTGGCTCGAGGACTACTACTTTGACCGCAGCGCCTACTGGGAGTACCTGGCCGTCTACAGCGACGACAACCCGCGCATCAACGGCCTGGTGGCGTTCGCCAACTCGCTCATCACCTTCCAGAACATTGTGCCCATCTCGCTCTACATCTCGATCGAGGCGGTCCGCACCATCCAGGCCTACTTTATCTACGACGACTACGACATCTGGTACGAGAAGCGCAACCGCCGCACCACGGCCAAGTCCTGGAACCTCTCCGACGACCTGGGCCAGATCGAGTACATCTTCTCCGACAAGACCGGCACGCTCACCCAGAACATGATGATCTTCCGCGAGTGCGCCGTCGGCGGCATCGTCTACCACGGCGACCGGTCCGTCGACCGCATGGAGGAGGAGGAGGCTGCTGCTGCCAACAGCGCCGCCGCCGCCGCCAACGGGGCCGGTGGCGGTCCCGGCAGCGCCGACGAGACGGCCGCATCCTTCGAAAAGGCCGGCTTTGCCAGCAACCCGGACACGGACCACACCAGCTCGACGTCATCGCACGACGGCCGGCACCCCAGCGAGGGGGCCAAGGGCGACAACGGCGGCGGCGGCGCCAACGTCGACAGCGGAGCAAGGCGGACCGTGCGCCCGAGCAACGCCGATGTGCCCGCCTTCCGCGACAGCCGGCTGAGCGAGGACCTCTCGGACCGGGACGGGCAGCAGGGTGTGCTGCTGGGCCGCTTCTTCCGCTGCCTCGGCCTCTGCCACACGGTGCTGGTCGAGGAGCACGGCGGCAACGTGATCGAGTACCAGGCGCAGAGCCCCGACGAGCAGGCGCTCGTCCAGGCGGCCGCCGACGTCGGCTACGTCTTCTGCGGCAAGGACCGGAGCACGCTCAAGCTGCAGGTGCCGGACAGCAGCGAGCTGGAGCGGTACGAGCTGCTGACGGTCAACGAGTTCAGCTCGGCGCGCAAGCGGATGAGCGTCATCCTGCGCCGCCACTCGGACGGCCAGCTGCTCCTCTTTGCCAAGGGCGCCGACAGCATCATGTTTGAGCGCAGCGCCGCGGGCCAGGACGACGTCAAGGCCGGGACCGACGAGGCGCTCGAGGAGTTCGCCAACAAGGGCCTGCGCACGCTCTGCCTCGGCTACCGCGAGCTCGACGCCGCCTACTACGACGACTGGGCGCACCGCTTCCACGAGGCCACGGTGGCGCTCGAGGACCGCGAGGAGGCCATGGAGGCGCTGGCGAGCGAGATCGAGAGCGAGCTGGTGCTGCTGGGCGCCACGGCCATCGAGGACAAGCTGCAGGACGGCGTGCCGGAGACCATCGCCGACCTCAAGCGCGCCGGCATCAACGTCTGGGTGGCCACGGGCGACAAGCTCGAGACGGCCATCGCCATCGGCTACAGCACCCAGCTGCTGACGCGCGACATGAACCTCGTCGTCGTGCGCGGCGGCGAGTACGGCCAGCCCAACTCGGCCTACGAGCAGCTGCGCAAGGCTGTGGTGCGCTTCTTTGGCGGACGCGAGGTGCTGCTGAGCATGGAGCACCAGCCGCCGGACGCCGAGTCGCAGGCCGGCAGCCGCCGCTCGTCGTTCATGTCGCGCCGGCCCTCGTTCCACCGCAACCGCCGCAGCAGCGTCAGCCAGGCGTCGCTGGTCGGCGAGGACAACGGCCAGCGGCCCGGCGGCTACGCGCTCGTCATCGACGGCACCGCGCTCGGCCACGCGCTGAGCGAGGAGTTTAGCAAGGACCTGCTGCTCAAGATCTCGACCCAGTGCCGCGCCGTCATCTGCTGCCGCGTGTCGCCGCTGCAAAAGGCGCTCATCGTCCGCCTCATCAAGGACGGCCTGGGCGTCATGACGCTCGCCATCGGCGACGGCGCCAACGACGTCTCGATGATCCAGGCGGCCCACGTCGGCATCGGCATCGCCGGCGAAGAGGGCCTCCAGGCGGTCAACTCGTCCGACTACGCCATCGCCCAGTTCCGCTTCCTCAAGCGCCTCGTCCTCGTCCACGGCCACTGGTCCTACTGGCGCAACTCGGTCATGATCAAGAACTTCTTCTACAAGGAGTTTATCCAGATCGGCTACCTCTTCTGGTTCCAGATCTACTGCGCGTGGTCGACGACCCAGGCCATCGACTACATCTACCTTCTCTTCTGGAACGCCGTGTGGACCGTCGCCGCCGTCATCTTTGTCGGCATCTTCGAGCGCGACGTCAACGACAAGGTGCTGATGCAGGTGCCCGAGCTCTACCGGCGCGGCCGCGAGGGGCGCTACTTTGGCCTCGTCCCCTTCCTCGTATACGTCGCCGAGGGCGTCTACCAGTCGGTGGTGCTCTACTTTTTCGTCGCCTACGCCTACGACATGACGACGTCGCGCAGCGACGGCTACGACGTCGACCTCTACGAGTGGTCGGCCACGATGCTGGTGGCGTCCGTCTTTATCGCCAACCTCTTCACCGGGCTCGACGTGCGCGCCTGGACGTGGTTCATGGCCATCGGCATCTTTTTCGGGCCCGTCGTCATCGCCATCTTCGTGCCCATCTACAACGCCTTCAAGCCGAGCGTGTTTGTCACGCCGTCGTACGGCAACAATCACTACAACTACCGCTCGATCCAGTACTACGCGCTGTGCATCTTCTGCACCGTCCTGTGCCTCATGCCGCGCTTCATCTGGAAGCACCTGCGCCAGTTCTACTACCCGACCGACATCGACATCCTGCGCTACGTCGACGAGCAGGACCCGCACCACGACTTTTACAACGACCCCGCCATCATCGATCGCACCAAGGAAGACGTGGGCTCGTACGACGGCCACCCGCCCGCGCCACCGCCCGGCGCCGCGGCGGGCCCGGCGGCGACACGGCGCTCGGCGGACGGCATACCGATGCACGCGCTGCAGCAGACGGCCAGCCGGGCCAGCAGCACGCACTACGACATGCTCACGGGCCTCGACCGGCCCAACCGCGGCTACACCTTCTCGTCGGACGAGCCGAGCCGCAGCGCCGGCGACGGCAGCGGCGGTCGCAGCAACAGCCGGCGTCGGCGGCTGTCGGTCAAGAGGCTCCTGCCGGGGCCGATCCAGCGGACGCTGCGCAAGCGCGACGATCGGCGGCGGCTGACGGCCATCGAGCAGGAGGACGACGCCCGCGACGACGCCGACGATGACGACGAGCCGGCGGCGGGAGGAGGTTCCGTGACGCCAGGCGAGCCACAACAGCAGCAGCGGCAGCAGCAGCACTGAACGTACAGGCTGCTCCGCTTTGGTCCATCCTTGCCGGAGCAACGACCCTCGAGACGACGGTACATTTCTGCCTATTCCCTTTGGCCCTCAGGACGATCCCGCAACCCACCCTGTGACGCCCGACGCCCCTTCCTGCTACGGTACCCCCGCGCCCTCTGCAAAAGGATTGTTTGATATCCCCCGCCGCCCCCGTGGCGCTGCCTCCTAATCTCTTCCCCTTCTTATCCACGCACGCCCTCGTCGTCTGCATATCATATCTCCATCTCCCCCTTGCCCTTCCGGCCGTCGCGCCCATCCCCCCTCCTTCGTCTCTTTCCTGTAGATACATTGGCCCTACCTCCCTCATTTGACACCCACATCTGCTCTGCTCTAGTACCCGCCCGCTCGCCCGCTGCTTTGTCCTGCTATATCCCCTCCATCCATCGCCACTCTACATCCTCCCGACGACCCACGACCACGTTGGCACGACCCGCCCTCCCCTCACCCCGCTGAAAGTCTGAACCTTTCGATATCTCGACTCGCGGTGCCGATGCGTGCGCTGCTTTGCGTCGGTGGGCGTTTGAGCGGCCGTGCCTTTTGCGCCGCTTGTTGATGGGTCGAGCTCCAGGGCTGAAGGTGGATGCGACGTGACTGGGATGGGCCGGCCCATCATTTTCGCAGCGAGTTTTACGACACCTTTTCGGCGGGTCGTCGTCGCTGCCGAACCTGGCTTGCCCGCCTCACGCCCACGTCCTGATCGGGGGATCGGCGAGGTTCGACGAGTCGCCCCATCTCCTGCACGCCATCAACCACCACCTCCCTCGTCCTCTGTGGCCCACCATTCTTGGCACCCCGTCCCCACTGCCAGGACGGCGTCTACGACAGGACCGATCTACCCCGGCAGCGGCAACAAGCTCGCTCAGTGAAGACGACGGGGAGGGATGGGGTTCACCGACGACGCGCGCCTTGGCCTTTCTCTCACTGGCCCGCCACAGGGAGGCATGGGTGGCTCACCGACGTCTCGAGCTGGACCGTGGCGAAGCTCCTTTGCCTCCGTGGGGATGCAACGCCATGGCGTCGAGTGGCAGGCCAGGCCAGCCAACCCGCGCCGCTGTCGATTTGCAGCTCCGGCGCGCCACGTCTGATGCCCTCTTCTTGGCCGAGCGTCCTTGGAAACGCAGGCAGGCAAAGGACAGCTTCCCACCGGGCATGCAGCCACCGTGGCCGAGTTTCGAGACATGGCCACGACTCGAGGCTTCTCACGCTTCGACGCGGCACCGAGACGACGACGACGACGACGACGACGCTCTCATCGCTCTCGTACGGGCAGGTGGATGGGCATTGCAGAAGACCTTGGACCCCTCCCTACGACGTCGCATCGCTGATATCTACGTCATCCGCCATGCCACGCCATGCCATGCCATGTGAGGTTCTCGAGGGACGTCGAACACCACCGTACCCCTTGCTTGCTTGAGATGGCCGGCCAGCCAGGCAGGCGTCCATCGCAGGGTGGGGTAGGGCGACGGCAACTGCAGGCCAGCGAGCGCGACGCGATGCCGGCGACGGCGCAGGCCAGGCATGAAGAGCAAGCAAGCAGAAGCGCAACGCCCGACCCGGGAGATTCCTCCGATCCCTTCCTGCTTGATTCGCATTGCTGGCAGAGCGAGCAGAGGGGGAAAGGGGGTGCCGGCCGGCTTGGGACTTGGGACCTCGCCTGCCTGCCTCGCGCTCCGTGCGTTGGTCCGATTGCTGCGATCCCTCTGCCTCTCTTCTGCCACCACCGCCACGAGCAAGCAAGCTAGGAACGCTCCCAAGCTCTGCCCGGCCTCGTCGCCAGCCAGGCCCGGCAGGCCAAGCGCCATGTCCCATCAGCGCGGCGCGGCGCGGCGCGGCGCCCTGGCGCTGGTGGCAAAGCAAGCAAGCCACGTCGGGCCACTACTACTGTACCAGCGGTAGCTGCCTGTAGCAGGGCGTGGCAGGACCGCTTCCTGCTCTTCAGCCACCGCGTCCTGCCCGTACGGGCCTACCGGCTGGATCGGGCGACAAGCAAGCAAGCGCAAGCTGACCGGCCCTCTGTCAGAGCCATGGCCGGCGTGTGCGTCTGGCGGTGGCATCGAACGCCGAGGCAGGTGCGGGCGCGTGGCATCTGGTCCGCTTGGTGGGCGGGCGGCAGAGGAGCAGCGCAGCGGGCAGGCGATGGAACGGACCCTGGGGCCGGCTGCTGCTGTCCACCCGGCCTTTCTGACATCCCGCCTGCTTCTGCATTCCGCTCCGCTCGCCGAGGAGCGAGCAACGACGACAGGCTCCAGAGTAACCACAGGGCTGAGGGCGCCCTTGTTGATCTCGACCAGATGGGCAGACTGGCACGGCGGTAGCATGGCATGTGCCTCGAGCTCGAGACGCAAGGCCGCCGTCGTGGCCATCGCACCGATCCAGGCCAACTGAATGGGCGCGCCCCCGACCGATTAAGGCTCGCTCGGCCTGCCAGGGGTAGCGCCAGGAGCGCGCGCCCGCCCTTCACCACCACCGCAGTCCATCCGCACCAGGCCGGCCTCCGACCTTTCTTGCTCTCGGCCCGTTCCCACAGCCCCGTCCCGCAACCTCCCCTCCCTTGCCCTAGCTGCTTGCCCTCGCTCGCTCGCACAACCAAGCAAGCAAGCAAGCAAGCAAGCAAGCAAGCAAGCAAGTGGGGACCCTGAAATCAGCTCGCTCGGCAAACACAGCTGCGGGCAGCGGGCGGCGGCGGCGGGCGGCAGAGTGCACAAACAAGCTAGGTACCGGCAGCCAAGCAAGGCAACCACCCGCCCATGCCTCCTAGCCTCTATCTCTGCTCCGTCGCCCAGCTTGGCCCCCTCTGCTCTGAGCCATCGAGCCGGACCCCCCCTTCCTGGCACGCTACCGGTACCTCCCTCTCTTGGCTTTCCAACGCGCCGCCCTGCGCGTCGACGACATCGGCCCTCTTTTGTCCCCCTCACCTTCGCCGCGCCTGTACAATTCCATCGCGCCGGCATCCCTCCCTCGCGCGCTCCCTGGACCGCCCCTCCCTGCTCACCTGCTTCAAATCTCGACCGTCTTGGACCCCCCCAACCTACCTCCTGTCCTCCATTCGACAACGGCGACAACCCTCGACGACACCACCAACTCCACCGACGCCACCGCCCCGCCTCATCATCAGCGACTTCTCAGCTGCCGCTCTGACGGTTCTCGATCCGCAGGCGACGTCGACCGACTACCGTGCTGCAGCCGCAACAGGCAAACAGACGAGCCTCAAAACCAGCGTCGCGGATCGCACCGGTCTATCGCGTCCTCGCGACAATCGACCACAGACGACACATCTGCCTCTCTAGCGATTCTTCTCTGAAGCCATGTCGAGGCTCGAACGAAGAGCCATGACGCGGCACAGACCCAACAATTCTGGCGGATCCATCAGCAGCAGCTCCGACGGCAGCTCGTTCGATGGCACTGCCTCGGGCGAGGAGCGCGCTACCTCCGTCGGTGGGTCGTGGCGGATGGCAAGAAAGGCATCCGAGGTGAGTTGGCATCTGGCGCATGCAGACTGTCCGGGCGCAGACGTGCTGACCAGCCCCTACCCCGTCGTCGCCCTCTCCCCTCGTCCCGTCGCCCTCTCCCCCTCGCCCCCCTCGACAACCGCCTTGGCACGCCAGCCAAACTCACCACTCAGCGCCAGGCTCCCACTGCCGGCAGAAAAGGGCTACTTTGACGCCCCCAGCATGGCGAGGATGGAGAGCCACGACAGCTACCGCATGCCCTGGTCGTCGCGCAAGTCCGAGGACGACAGCGACCCGGACTGGGACGAGGGCTTCTCGTGCTCCCTCGCCCACGACTTCGACCGCCTCCGCCGCGAGACCGAACAGCACGCCGCCACCAACCCATCCGTCACGCTGCAGAACCGCCACATGTGGCTCGACTCGCACTTTGACCGCCTGACGATGAAGTACCGCTCGCAGCCGGGCGGCAAGAGGGCCGGCGACCGCGGCGGCCAAAGCAGCGGCAGCAGCCCCAACACCAGGGACAACAGGTCCGCGGCAGCGGCGGGCTCCAAGCCTCACTTCCTCGATCTGAGCTCCATCATCTCTCCCGTGCCGCTCGACATCACCACACCGCCGGCATCGCAGCAAACGAACCCGGACGCCGGCCTCGATACCGTCACCCCCAAGCCATCCTTCGCCCAGCGCTTCGCCTCGACCGACGGCCAGGGCAATGCTCGCTTCGGCAACGAGCTTAGAGCGGCGCGCCAGCCGCTGCAGCCCTGCTTCGGACCCAACATGGTCCTCGCCGTCGGCAGCGCGTCCAGCGGTCCCACCAGCCGAAGCCTCAAGCTCAAGGCGTCGCAGGACAGCCTGCGCAGCGCCGCTGTGTCGCCGACGACGTCGACGTTTCCGCGCCCGGCCCTCCGCAGCCGCCGCAGCTTCGACAACCCTGCCGAGGTCCGCCGGAGGCAGAGGGACGAGCTGGAAATGCAGAACGTCTTTGTCGTCGACGAGAACATGGGGGGCGCAGGGGTGCCGCAGCTGCCAGACTGGGCGCGCCACCAGAACCGCGCCAACCAGGCGCTCCCGTCGAGCATGCACGCCAAGAAGTCGTCCGACCCTTTCCGCGACGACCAGGGCATCGCCAGCGCGGTCCCACTCGGCCTGCGCGCCTCGCCCATGTCACGGGGCGTCAGCCACGACACGGCCATGGCCAACCCGCCGACGCCGACGCGGTCTCGGCTGGGCACGCGGGCATCGAGCGGCGCCCTGCGCATCCGTGCGGACAGGTCGGCGATGCCTGAAGCCTACCCGACGGACCTCTACTCTCCTATATCGCCCTCGTTCCCGCCGCCGCCTCCGATGCTGCCGATGCTCTCGTCGTCGCGGGCTTCCTGCGGCTCGTCGACCGGCTCCGACTCGATGCCGCCCACGCCCAGCTCGGCGACCTTCATCCGGCCGCTGGTCAACATCACCCCGCCTCGAACCTCTACCAAGCCGTCGGACGGCCACCCGGTCGTCGCGTCGCCGCAGGAGAAGGATTATCAGCGGACGATGATGGCGCACCACTCGCACTCGCACCTCCCTCCTCACGCTGCCCGCGCTCGGTCGCCGTCGACGAGCAGCACCGACGAGGCCGAGGCGGTGGCTTGGTCTCGCAGCCGGGCGCACCTCAACGTGACGCCGCGCGCTGCCAAGGTGCCGCTGCACCACCGCCCCCCGATGGCGCAGCACAGCAACAGCTACTCGCCGGGAGACCACCACGCCCACGCCTTGATGTCGCCGCCGAGGAGCTCGAGCCTGCGACGCAATCTGTCCGAGGCGGGCGAGGCCTCGGGTGCCGCCGTGGTTGCCTCCGAACTCCCATATGCAGACGAGCGGGACCAGCAGCAGCACGGGCGCCCCGATCAGCTGCACAGCTCGTGGGGGTCCGAGAGCCACTACTCGAATTCGGCCGAAGACGATGCTGGTTCGGCGTACATGTCCGCCGTCGAACAGCCGTCCGCCGAGCGGCCCGTGACGCCGCCCTCCTCGGGCGGCCGCGGTGTCGCTCTTGGTGCTGGTGCGGTCGCTGCTGCTGCTGCTGATGCCGCTGCTGGCGTCATGAACTCGAGGTGGAGCCCACCGACGCCCGTGTTGCAGTCGGCGTCGATCTATGGTCGGGGCCGGGCCAACTCGCGGGCCGACGAGTGGGCCTCGAGCATCGGCCGCCGCTTTGCCAAGGGCGTCAACGCCAAGATGGCTTGAGGTCGGGCTGCCCATTTGCCTTTGCCATTCCGGATTCTCACCGTCTCGGTCCGTTTGCACCGCACTCGCTGCGCACCTCGCATCTCGCATCCCCTTGCAGCCACCACCACCACCACCTACTCTCCTTTGCTCACAACGTCCGCTGTATCCTACAAGCTGTATCACTACTACCGTCCCGCCCGTCGTCGTCGCCACTGTATTCCCAGTCCTCACTCTCCTTGCAGACTCGTTGCCATCTCAGTTTCGCCCTCACTCCCTCGCACTCTCGCTCGCTGTATCCTTACACTCTTTTCGTCAGAAAACATCGGCTTCCGCCTTCGGTCAACGCCACAAGCAGCTAGTCCTCATTATCCCGATGCGATGCGATCAGTGGCTGCAGGACCTTGGTCAGGAACGGCCAACGTGACCTGGCCTGCGCGCCGAGGGCAACGCCCCGTTCGTGGTGCAGAGGCCGAATTCGATCGAGGTTGAGGCTGCGGGGGGCGAACGCTATTGGGCCGGGTCGGCAGCCGTCTCGCCGTTTGCCCCCCTCGCTTCTTTCCGTGCCTGACCTGCCCAACCTGTCTTTGGCCCGTGTCTTCTCTTCTTGTGTGCTTCTGCCCCTCTTCCTGTTTCGATGCTTGCGATCTGAGCCGTAGGCGTTCATCGGACCGCACATGGTCGATGCTGGACAACCGTAGTTCGGAGAGATGTAGCCGTGGGGAGAGGTGGCGACGAGGCATGCATGGTATAAGAGAGCCCGTCGTCGTCGTCGTCTCCTCGTCGCCCTAAAGCTGCCTGCCTGTTCACCTCCTTTTGCACCCATCTGCGCCATCGCCATCGCCTCTGACGACGACGACGACGACGACCTCCGACATGCCGTGGCGCACGCTTGGCGCCCTCCTCTTCGTGGTGTCGACCCTCGTCCTCTGCCATGTCGTTCGCGCTCCCGCCGTCGAGCCAGAGGCGCTCGAGTCGTCCTTCTGGAACGCCCTCGCCGAAGGAGGGCCGCTCGCCGAAGGCCTCGAAGCCCTGACCCGCAACGACAGGTATCCCCACCACGACGCCGCGCACGCCTTTGACCCCGCTCCGCTCGACGAACAGGGCCTCTACCACCACCACCACTTCGATTCCGCCCTGACCAATCAACCTGCGCCTGTCCCTCCTCCAGCTCCAGAGAGGGCCCAGACTCCCCCCCACAGTCCGGAGTCGCTCGACTCTTCGACGACCTCGTCCAGCTCCGGTTCCAGCGGACGAGCGATTCCGTTTCGCAAGACCAGGGCTCTGACGCCCGAACAGCTGCTCGTCTCTGCGCCGCTGGCGGACCTCTTCGACCTGGCTCAGCTGCGCGTGTCGACGACCATCACCTCGCCGATACCTTGGCTCTACAGCTACGACCATCCGTCGGCCTTTGTCATCGCTCCGGGGGTGGCGAACCTCGAACGCAAGCAGCTCTGGCTGAACGGCGTCGGACGGCCGAGGGACCTGTTTGCGGCCACCGACGAGGAGCGCCACCTCGTCATGCTCAAGTACGTCGCCGACCTGCGCAGCTACTACCAGGGCAGCCCGGCCAGCCGCCAACATCCGCACTGGGTCGACACCGACGCGCTGCAGCCGCCGTTCGAGCACGAGGTCCAGTACGAGCGCTCGCGCAAGCTCTCCTCGGGCGGCTTTGGCCCGAGGGGGCCCGTCACCGCGTACCTCGTCAACGGCGACATGCTCGTCACCTTCCGCTCGCTCAGGAAGGCGCCCGAATACTCGCAGTGGCTGACGGGCTCCGGGTCCCTCTTCCACGTCGTCGCGGTCCACTACCCTCCCGACGTCAGGATGCCCGCGGTCGAGGTCGGCGTCTTGGCGACGCCCTATGGCGCCAACCTCCAGAGCGTCCACCATCCCGCCATCCACGCTGATCTGGGCGACATCGTGCTCCGTAGCCACCCCACCCTCGTCGCGCCGCATGCACAGGCCGCAGCGAGCGCCCGCAGCGTGATGACGCTCTCGGATTCGCCGTGACCAGGTGCCCCGCACTGACCCCCCGGGGCGTCGCCCAGTCAACCTCGGCAGCCCCGAGTGCGAAACCTCGAGGCTATCGCGAGGCGATGCAGCATCAAAGCCGTAGTGCACAGCAATATAGCACGCTCTCCACCCGCAGTCATCTTTGCTCATCGATGGCCCTTATCCGCCTGCCTCTCCTCGTTCCGCTCTGTACATACATCCCGGCGTCTTCTCTCCATCTCACCGGACGGTCCGGATCCGGTCGGCAATTTCGGGTCGCCGCCCTAGGTCGCTCGCTCCCAGCGAATTGACTCGAGATGAAGGCTCACCGCTACTCTTTCCGCCCCCCTTCCTCCATCTCTACGCTGGTCCATCGAGTTTTCTCTCTCACCTTTTTCACCTCCATCTCGCTCGATCGCCACCCCGACGATGGCAAAGTCGATGTCGCCACGCAGGGCACCCTGCGCACTTGTCGGCCTCTTGATCCTGCTCGTCCTGCTCGGCCGCCATGTCCGAGCCCCCGACGTCAATCCGGAGCCGTTGAGCGATGCTTTCTGGGAAGAGCTCGTCGCCGGTCATCCCGTCGTGGATGGCTTCGAGGATCTGCTGAGCAGCGGCAGCAGCAGCGGGGCCAAGAGGCCTTGGGAGGACCCAGACGCCGTCGAAGTCGTTTCGAGCAGCAGGCCGGCCGCGCATCGGTCCGCAACCCTCGACGTTGTCGACCCGCCTCGCCCAGCCAAGGTGCCGCACACCCCGAACCTCGACACCAATTTAGTCCGGAAGGACGGCCAGTCCTCGGCGCAACCTGCGTGGACACTTTCCGCTTGGTCGACGGTCTGGTTGATGCTCCATTCGACGCCACCGGCTGAGCTCGAGATCCTCAGGGAGCTCAAGGGCGCACCCCACAGCGACCCCGACCGACCCTGGCTGTACTTCTACACGCACCCGACCGCCTTCTCCCAGGATCCCGAGCACCGGCTCGCCGGGCGCATCGACCTGCGCGAATCGACCCAGGCGCGAGCGCGATCGCGGTTCGCGGCGAAGCCAGAAGAGCGAACCCTGGTGCTGCTCAAGTACCTCTCGGACCTGCGCTACTACGACACGGGCATCAGCAGCCTCGGGGCGCGGCCGTACTGGATGCCCCTGGACCAGCCCAGGCCCTTTTTCGACCGCCAGCGCATCCTGCGCGAGACGCGCACCACGATCCGGAGGGGCTTCACGGCGCGCGGCGCGCTGACGCCCTATGTAGTCAACGGCGACACGCTCGTCGCCTTCCGCGACCTCTCGCTGCGCAGCACGGCAAGAGGCGACGACGAGCTCATCTACTTGTACGTGTCGGCGCACATGTATCCCCTCGACGTCGATTCGCCGGTCATCGAGCTGGGCATCCTAGCGACCCCCTTTCGCACCTACGGCAGGTCGCTCTTTCATCCGCGCGAGGTCCTGGTCGGGCTGTAACGGGACTTTTCTCGCCGGCCGTCGCCGTGGCTGAGGCACACCCGTCCCTCTGGCAGCCCTCGTCGTCCTGTTCGACCGATCGTTAGCTCGTCGTGACACTTGGTCGTCGTCATCCAGGCCGCCGCCTACCGCTGCAACACCACCGTCAACTCTTTCATCCGATTCGTTCGCCATGAGCTTACCCGGGGCGAGCGGCCGTGACGTCGAAGTAGGGGCGGGTCTGGTGCTGGGAGCCAGGCTGCGGCGGCCCTGCTGTGACCCCGCCTTTGGCGGAACGAGCCTCGTCGTTCAGCGTCGACTCGACGCTCAGGAAGACGGCGTCTGCCACTCTTCCGGGACGGGTGCAAATGGGGCACCAGGACCGAGTCGGGCGTGGCAGCTACAGAACGTGGCGGGCTGATGGATCCATCGAGCTGGAGGCTGACTGGCTGACAGGTCGGGCTCAGGATCGGGTGCCGAACCATTCTTTGCCCGGCTCCTGACCTGGCGGCGCTACGCGACAGGCGGGACCCATGCACACACACTCGCCGACGAGCGAACGACGCGGATCCCGCCCCGTTTTGTACCTGGACGCCACACTTCGCTCCGCGCTCGGCTTATTTGCTGACTCTGCTTGCCCGGTTTCCAGGCATGTCGGGCGTCACACGGCAGGTCGGTAGGCAAACGAGGGCCGTCTCTGCCACAATACGATCCGACTGACAGGACAATGATGACGATGATCGCGCAGTAGGATGTCGCTGGGCGCCCAATGGTGGCGCAGGGGTAGGGCCCATACAGAGCTCGGGGAATCGGCACCGAGACGACGGCGTCGAGGTCGAGCTACATATGCGCACCTCCACCTCAGTCGGCGGTCGAGCTACATACGCGCACCTCACCCTCAGTCGTGGATCGACGAACTGGAGCCGTTTCTGCGCTCAGACGCAAAGAGCGAGGCCTTGGGGAAGGCTGCCAGACCCTTGGCACCTGGGCCATGCGACGGCGGAGGAGAAGGCCCCAGCAGCCTACGAAGAGCGAGCGCGGCGCGTCCGGCTTGACCTGCGCAGAAGGGGTACTATTCGATCTGTATCCGGATGGACCGAGACGACCCGACGTTCCCACGAGCGTTGGTAGGTGGCTTGGACACGACCTTGCCTTGGCTCGCAGCGCAGTCGTCGGCAGGCGAGGGGCGGGCATGAGTCCGCGTCGCGAGCCGGTCACAGGAGCGAAGGAGCGAAGGAGCGAAGGAGCAAAGGAGCGGCAAGCTGCCGGCCTCGAATGACGGCGGCGAGCAGCAGAGATGGAGAGCCAGCGAAGACGGCACCGGACGTAGGCAGCGCCGTAGGCGAACAAAGGAAGCGTGAGAGCGACCGAGACCGGCTATCGGCGGTTTGAATCGCTGTTTGATGCCACGCCACGCCATGCCATGCCAGCGGGGTCATGCCGTTGCATTCGTAGCGTATTGTTGTCCCAGGAATTCGGTCGAGCCCTATCGTCTCGAGGGTGACTGGCGACCAACGGCATGCATCTTCTTGCTCGTATCGTATCGTATCGTCTCCGGACCACCGGCAGCGTTGCACGCAGGCGTCGGCATGGTCCGGCCCGCACGCGGTCCCTAGCCTACCTGCGCCGCGACGCCGCTTGCTGCGCTCCAGTCAAGTCACCCACCCTAGGCCAGGCGACGAAACGCTATCGGACATCGACACAAAAGCTAGGACCGACGAGGATCAACCTTGTCGGCCAACCTACCGTACGCAGCAGCAGCGCGCGGCTCATGTTGCGGCAGAACGCTTGCGCGGATGCGGACGTCACAGGCAGGCTAGGCTTGTCGTCGAGCCTAGTCGCCGACCGGAAGACGGGCGCGCGTGCGCAAAGTCAGGCAGCGAGGGGCCAAAGCCGAGCAGCGGCCCGAGCCCGGCTGGGTTCCGCACCAGCAGGCTGCTGGCTGGTTGGTGGGGTCCCAGGGGCTGCCCCTCTCGATCGTCACGGCCATGAAACCACCTCGTCTCACGCCCCAACCCCCAAGCCCCTAGGCCTTTGACGCTATGCCCGCCTGCCTACCTAGCCTGCTCCTCGGCCCTCCCGCCTTCGCCCTTGGCATGCTGCTCATGTGCCAAGTCGGGCCGGACCGACGGCCGCCAACGTCCAGACATTAATGACGCGGCACGCACGTTGGGCCTCGTCTACAGAAGCCAACTAGCTGGGCACATGTGCAAATAGGTACGTGAGTCTACCCGACCCGGACCGAATGGAGCCAGACCAGCTCCTTAGCCCGTATCGCATCGAGGGGCTTCCATCTGCGCCCAGCAGGCAGGCAGACCAGCGAGCGAACAGGTCTGGCCCCCCATCGCCCTCTTCGAGCAGGTCGTACCGTACACACACCCCGATGCAGTGACTACTCTACGTCTCTCCGGGAGCCAGGCCACACCGAGGTCAGGGAAGCCCTCTCCTTCTGGTCACGAGACTGCAGCAAGCTGGCCAATCGGACTTTGATGGCACAGGCGACGACTCCGGAGCCCGGGGGGCCTCGCCCGGCTCGACGATCCAGGATCTGCCGCGGCAAAGCGCCCATTGTCCCCTTCCGAGCGAGGGAGCCGATTGGGGTCCCGCCATCGAGTGCCCAATCTCGACTGCTGTCGGCCCGAATCGGCCTGGGACAGTCACGGAGGATCCGATACTCGGCTGCCCTCGCCCTCTACTGCCTTCTGCCTTTCACGGCGGCGCATGTGCTGCCGCCACCGACGACCAACCGGGACCGGAAAGCAGGCAGGCGTGACGTTCACGCCCGAGGCCTCTGCATCGCTGCACATCCGAAGCGCGGCATGCGATCATGTCCCTACATCGGCGACGTACATGGCCACCCGGTCGGATACAGTACTGTAGATGCCAGGGCGGGCGACTGCCGCCAGAAGGCCAAGAGGCTTCTGCACCGGATCGGATCGACGACCGCTGGGCGTCTGCACCGGCAAGCATACCGAACGGAGGTCTGACCGAGAGCCAGAGACTAATGTGCGCGAGACACGCCCCACCAGGTGCTCGAAGCGTTGTCAAGTCCCACGCCGTCGGACAGGAGGAGCAGGGACCCAGGACAGGCTCTCGGATCCATCCTGGAGCACTAGCTGCCAGACTGCTTGTTCTCCGGACGTCAGAGCAAGACGGCAGGTGCGTACTACGACGACGCATCGGTGCGATTCGAAGTCGATGAGAGAGGAGCAGAGCACGCACGAGGTAGGGTCAGGAGACAGTTCCGGCAGCTCAGGGTCCCCCGGCCTGTTTCCCGCCGCACAAGTCGCCGAGCCGTATCGAGATTCGAGACGGTGCTGACTCTCTCTCTCTCTCTCTCTCTCTCCCCCCTCCCTCTCTGTGTGACCAGCTGATCCTCGAAGAGACCGAGGGGCTGGATGCTGGAGAGATGGTGAGTATATCCCGATGCGTGGAAGCCTTGCTCCCGGTCGAGTTCACATTTGACTGAGGAGATGACGTTGGGAAGAGCGACGTCGATACAGTACCTGTCACGACGCCTACCCTAAGCGGGTACCCAGATGGCGGTCCGCACTTGCGCTGAGGCGCGGAGACGAGGCCAGCAGGCGGCATGCCGGTCCAGCATCGGGACTGAGACGACAACCCCTGCCTCTGGCTCGGCGTCTTGATGGCCAGACAGGCAGGCTACTGTAGGAGCTGCTTGCATTGCTCTGGGCGTGCTGGCTCAGGGTGCCGTATCCGGCCCGCGCCCCTCGACAAGCAAACGCCTCGTCGGAGTGCAGCGCCACAAATCAAGCTCCTCGCGACCCCTCGTCGGCGACATCACGCGGCCCAGCACGCCACCCGACCGCAGCACTCCGATCTGCGGGCGGCCGCTGCCCTACTACCTACACGTACGCTCTTCTAACTGCTCAAGCTTCACAAGCAGGGGAGCGTGAGAGGCTCGCGTCGCTGCCGACGTCGCTAAGAGCGTTTCCGGATCCTCAGAGGCAGGCATGACCTAGCCCGGCCTTACGAGTCGTCATTCGTCTACCTCTCTCCCTCCCGCAGCCCTCGACGACCATTCCACCGCACCGTCGCGCGGGCGCTTGTTTGACCTACATGCGCACTCTCACTCGGAGACGAGCTCATGCAGGCAGCACTTTGGGCTGGAGCCAGGTGCTGGGCCAGGCCAGGCCAGGCGCTTCGCACCCCGAACGACATGCACGGTCACTCTTGCGAGATAGAGTTGTGGTCCAGGGGTGTGAAGCGCGTCGACCGACCGAATGGAAAGCTGATCCTCTTCTCCCTCATACCTTTGCAAGGCTTTGACGCAGTTGACGACAGGTCGAGCTTATCCGGGCCAAGGTGAGGCATGCGCAAGACGGCAGTGACGGCGACGTCCATCGACAGGAGCGCATGGGTCCCGAGAAGCGGCAAAGGCAGGCATGCCACGCCTGCCTACATAGCGCTAGTTTGTCCCTTCTTCCTTGTCACAGCCGGAGGGTCCAACTGGGCTAGATCAACCTGCCGGCTTCGGGACGAGGTGGCCATGGGCTAGGGTTCCAACCCTGTCACCGCCCCGGAAGGCCCGGCGGTCGGTTGGTGGGTCGATGGTTCGGTCACGCCTATCTCGTTTTCTCAAAGCTCGAGGCTGCCCGGCGGAGCAAACGGCACCAGAGCGTGACGACGACGACGACGACGACGGCCGGCACGCCTTCTCTCCGTCGCCAAGGGGACGCACGATGGCGGGCATGCCGATAGGTGAGCCGTGGGCGCAGGGTCGACGGGACACCAGGGATCGCAGGGTGCCGGATCAGGCGCACGCCTGCAGAAGCGATGCCCCGGCAAAGCAGCTGCTTCGCTCGATCTCGTGAGGTCGGCGGAGCCATCAAGCTCCCGAGCTCGCTCGTCCAAGAGAGCTCGATACTGTACTGGTGGCTCCGAGCCTGGATCCTCGAGCGCCATATATCCAAGGTTCATCGTCAGTTACATGCCTTGCTTTGGTTCTTTGTCGCGCGTCGTCCTGTTGGGGGATCCTCAAGAGAGAGGGCAGCCGGCCGGGCCGCCTCTTCGTGGCCAGGCAGGCCATTCTATTGTCGCCGTGCGTCCCGGCGCCCCAGCGCCTACGTCCGTTCGTCGCTCCGGAGCTTGAAAGCGTGCAGCTCGCTTTCCACCACCCGGCACCCGCCCCTGCATGCCGCCTAGCCATGCAGGCGTGTCCCGTTTTTCGACTTCCGTTCCGATCCTTGGCCTTGGCTTGTTGGCCTTGGCCCTCGTATCGCCGCTCCGCCCCCGCCCCCCCCCCCCCCTGCTTTTTCGCCACCTCGACTCCGACAATGGCCAAGAACAAACGCACGCACGCACGACTTCGCAACGTGGGGATTCGGCGGCCAGGCCAGGCAGCAGCGCCGGCAGCAGCGCCAGCCGTCCGGAGGCTCAGCGGCGGACTTGCGCACCGCTCGGGCCTGGCTCGCTCGCCCGGAGTGCCGCCTCCCGCCGCTTGGACGTGGGGGGAACTCCGCTCCGTGTCGCTGGCGGACGCCTGGCCTTTCTCTCAGCGACGCTGTGGTACGAATAGGCTAGGCGGCCTGCTGGCGTCGGTGCCGGTACCGCCCAGCAGCAAGAGGGACCACCGCTGAGCTCGCTCCGCACCGGTACCGTTGCCAGGACCCGCGGCTCAATCTTTTCCCGCAGCGGGGTCGGACCCGTGCAGGGCATGTGCATGTCACCGTGCCTGGCTTTGCCGCCATCGGCCGGACGAGGCATCGATCGGGAGGGGGCGGGTCGTTGAGGATTTTGAGGGGCTCGCAAGGGCGGGCGGGCGAGCGAGCGAGCGAGCGTCTCAGGTTGACGTATGTAGGGTCGACGGCATCCGCTGTCTGTGCGAGGTGTGGCGGGCCCGACAATCTCGCCGGATCGCACTCTGGCTCGGCGGGTGGCGAAAACGTGGGGAGGCTAGGCGAGCAAAACTTGCGGCAGTCGACCGACGACGGCGAAGACAGGCGGCGATAGGGCCAGGAGGAGGAAGCCAGGGGGAGCACGAGAGGTGACGAGAGGAGCTACCGGTAGGAAGAAGAGGCAGCCAGGCAAGCAGGCACGCCCCGCCAGCCGGTCCTGCGGACCAGACTGGACCGAGCAGAGAGGCAGGCAGGCAGGCAGGCAGGCAGGCAGGCGCGCCGCGAGGGGCCAGCCAGCTGTGCCTCTCTGCCGCCTCGATGATCGGGTCGGTGCTGGACCCAAGACGCAGCCGGGAGCGTCGAGTTTGGGCCGGAGGGGTCCGCTGGCCCTCATGAAGTCATGCGCCGACGCCTGCCCTCTTCCGCCCGAAGCGATCTTCTCCATCGACGAGCAGAGGCAGGCGGGCAGGCGGGCAGGCGGAGCAGCGCCGAACCCTGCGCCACCTCGCAGACTCGTCTGCCGCCTGGCTCTCTTGCTTGCTCGTCCGGCTGGCTCGCCTCGTTTGCCAGCCTGCCCGCGCACGGCTTCCTCCGTCGACGACCCAAACAAGCAAGCAAGCCGAACCGCAGAGGTCTTGATCCCTCGCTGCTGCGCTCCAGCCTCGTCGCCCGCCGCTTTCTTCGCCATCGTCGTCGTCGTCGTCGTCGCCGCCGTCGTCTGTCGTCCAGCGCCCTCGCTCGTTCGTCGGTCTCTTGAGGTGCACGTCCCTACCTGTACTCGACCCAGGAAACCAGGCCAGCCCGGCCTCCACGCCCGTTGGCAGGTGGCATCGTGAGGTGGCATGTGGTGGGCCTGTGTGCATACTACCACGCTCTGCCATCGTCCAACGCCTTGGGCGTTGGCTGCTCGTCGCGCCGCCGTCTTGCACCAAACCGGCTCGTGGGCTTTGGTTTTGCTGGTTGCCTCCAAACCTGGTACTGGTACCGGTACCATGCCGGAGGCTGGTTCTGCGCAGCCAGGTTTTCGGGCCCCCAAATCGATTCTCGCCACCTGGTCTCAGGCAGGGTGCACCGGAAGGGCGCGACAGCCAGGGTCCCTGCCGACGTTTGGGGGCGCTAGCAACAGCAGCGCAGGCGGGGGGCCCTGCCAAGGTGGCCCGGCCGTGGCCACGTCGCGGGTGGGTGGCGCTGCCTTCCTCCTCTCTCGTTTGCCTCTCTCTCTCTCTTGCCACTTCCTCCTCCGTCTTGCTCGCACCTCTCCCTGGCCGCTTCCTTTCGCCTCACCCTTCGTTGTTCGTTCTTTCGCCCGTCGTCGTCTGCTCTGGATCACCCTCTCTCCCTCTCTCTCTGTTCTAATCCCTGCCCACATCACGACTCCTCCCGGGTCGGCAGTAGGCAGAGCGAGACCTACCTCCCCTGCTTGCCTCGGCGTCTTACGGTCGACTGCGCTTCTCTCTCCTTCTTCAACTGCTCATCACCCCTCCTGTCCCCTTTCGCTACCTCTTTAACACTCACACACACGCACGCACACACACACACACACACGCACACACACCACCTGCGCTCGATCCCGCAACGCTTCGACGCCTGGGGCTCCTTGCTTGACATCCTCGTCCTCATCTGCCTTCGCGTCTACCTGGGCCTCCGCCTACGCCTTTGCCACTCGACTCGCCTCCCCTCAGCTCCGTCACTCGATCCTCGCTTGGCACGGGACCCTCGGCCGTCACTCGCCCTCGTGGACACGCTGCTTCCCGAATAGCACGCCCTACCGGTAGCTCGGTCCAGGCATCAGCGCCCACGTCCTCAGCCTCTCCTTGCCGACCACCGCAGAGGAAGCTTCGGGATCCTGCCACCCTCGACCCGGTTCGTCCTCGACGCCCGCCGCCGAGCTATAAGGCAGGCAGCCCCGTTCCGTCGAACCACCGCTTTCTTCTCCTTCTCTCACTCTTCCATGCCATAGCATAGCGACCACAGCTACTCTTACCGCACTTAGCACCACGCCGCTGCTGAACATCCACCAGCCGAGGCTCTCTCGCACCGGCAGAATATCTACCGCCTCTGAACCACACGCCGCCACCCCGACCGACCCTTCCCGACCTCCCTGGTGTCAACAACAGGCCGTTGAGACGACGACATCATCGTCAGCTTGCTATTCCCATCGCGATCCGCTTCGTAGCCCAACGGGATTCGAAGCTACTTCAGAGTGCAACAGCTCGACACAATCGTCTCTAGTCCGAGCGATCACGGGTCTTGAGTCGGACCTCCTTAGCTCTCCCGCCATCAGACATCGGACCCTCTCGCCGCTGGACACCAGCAACGGTCCGGCATCGACTCGAATCATCCCCCGACGCCACGCATCCGAGTCTCCCCACGCAATCTCGCTCGGACGCCTCTTCACGGTCCGAGCCGCAACCGTATCCTCCACGAACGCTCTCAATGCAGCCCGTCCTTCGAGGCCGCTCGCAACAATGAAGGTCTCTCAAGCAGATGCCGCCAAGCCGCAGGTCGATGTCAACGATGCCGAGCGCCTCAAGCAGATCGCCAAGCGCAAGGAGCAGAACCGCAATGCTCAGCGGAGGCTTCGGGAGCGCAAGGAAGAATACACGATGCAGCTCGAAGCCCAGGTCGCCGAGCTGCACCGACGCTCGCAGACACAAGAGGAGCACAGCCACTACCTCCGCGAGATCCTCGAGCGGATCAGGATGGAGAATCAGGTCCTCAGCCAGCAGCTGGCGATGGTCTCTGGCTCGCCGGAGACCGTACATCGATCCTCTGTCGATTCATCTGCGCCCACCGCCAACGTCGCCCAGCCCTTCGCCACGAACCGGCCGCGGCATTCGAGCGAGAGCTACGCCGCCTCGTCTCAAGGCCTAAGCCTGTGGCCCCCCTCGATCGATCCGTCGCACACGACCGACATGCCTCGGCCTTTCGGTGGCAACCTTGCGCCCCACGAGACGATCACCCACTCGCAGAGTCCGCTCCTGGCACCGGCACCTGCGCAACCCAGGAGCGCTACCGGCCTTCCTGCCGCTGCCGGCGGCTTCACCTTCCCGACCATCCTGCATCCTGCCGCAGCGCCCATCTCACGCGCATCAGAGGCGACGAACGCTCGCCACCCGCACCCGCACCCGCAACAGCACCTGCGCCAACCACCGCAGCATCCGCATCCTCTGCCCGAACCACTGCACCGGGCGTCGGCATCGCCACTCGCTTCGGCTTCGGACGGGATGTTGAGCCCGATGGCGCTGCGTGGCAGTCTCAACCGATATGGCAGCGGGCAGACGGAGATCACCGTGCCGTCCGACAGCTCCGAATCGGATCCGCCCGCCGCCAAGATGCGATGTCGGGGGCTGAGCGTGAGTCGCAAGCAAAGCGGCCCGATGGACGTCGACATGGATCCGGCTGCTGCTTCCTCCTCGGTCGCGGCCAGCACGACCATGCCGGCCTCGCTCAACCAGCATCGATCTGGCGCTTCGAGCAGCATGCAGCCCGAACACGGCACCCGTGCCCCCGAGGCGAACAGCATGTTTTCCCGTGGCTTGCTTGAGCACCGCCAGGCAGCAGGCTCCTCGGCCGCCAGCGCGTCCGGCGCTGCCGCCATCAACAACAGCGACCAGTGCATGCATTCGTGGCTGAACCCGGGCAACTCGGGCATCGAGCACGAGCAGGATCTGGTGCTGGCCAACATGCCGTCCCAGGACGTGTCGGGCCACCTCAAGCCGATCGGTGCCACGCCTGGAGCATTGGGCCTGACCACTCACGGTGACGGCTGGACAATCTCGCCCTGGGTCAACTTCACCTCGAGCCCGCTCGACCAAGTCGATTCGAGGCAGTCTGTGCGACTGGACGGGGCGGGGCCCACAGAGTACGACTCCTTCGGACGTCCGTGAGTTTCGTCGGCTAGCCAGAGCCGGGTGCTCCGACAGGCTGCCCGGCCTTCACGTCTTTGCACCCCCGCACGTCTTTGCACCCCCGCACGTCTTTGCACCCCCGGAAGGCTCTGTTGACCCCTTGCCATCCTCCCTCTCCCCTCTGTCCGCGTGCCGCAGCACCTCGCTCGCATCGCGACGCGGCTTCTCGGGAAAGCTCGAACTCGGCGCCCATGTCCTGGAACAGTGATTCGACCCACATACTCGCTGCAGCACCTCTGCCGGGTCGAGCTGGCCACCACTCCTGCCCGCTGGCCCGCCGAGAGGCAGGCTGGCGATATCTATACCCACCTCGAGTCGCACAAGGACGCCGGATCAGTTCGGCCGGACCGCATCAGCGACGCTTACCGACGCAGCCCAGTCTCACCGACACTCTCGTCGCAAGGCTCGCCACGTCTCCGCTGCCGGCAACATACACTCTCGCTGGCGCGGCCCGGACAAGCAACCGCCCGCTCCGTCCCTCGAGCTTCCCGACCCGCGATCCGATCCGTGCCGATCCGCGCAATCCGTTGACACATCCATACACTCTTAATGCTCGACGGCACTACTGCCATCACCCCTTGCCACCCTTGCCACCAAACCTGCCGTTTTTGCCGCCGCCATCGCCAAGCACGCCCGAGTTCGCCGCCACGGCCGGCCCTCAAAAAACACCAGCAGTCGGCCTGGCGCTGTTCGCATCTCCCATTCGGCTTCCGACTCGATCGCCGTCTCCGTTCCCGCCGTCTCTTTCGCAAAGTCCAGCAACCTACTTCCGCCATGCATGCAGGTCATCTCCGGGTCCCCCAACTTTGCAAGCGCATCGTATACACGCCGATCCTGTCACCCCGTCCCCCTCTCTATCCGGAGGGCGCCTCCTCTGTCTCGCCCAACCTGCATCGCATCGTCGTCGTCCCGCGGATCCGTGTCGCGGTCAAACACACGCTGTCCGTCTCGTCCCTCTGCGTCCGTTGTTGTACCATTGTACTTTGCATTTCTCCTTCCGCCCCGCTCTCTCTCTGTCCCTCGCTTTCTCTCTCTCTCTCTCCTCTCNCTCTCTCTCTCTCTCTCTCTCTCTCTCTCTCTCTCTCTCTC